CCAATTATTCTTAACGGTACTCACATCCCGTACAGTAAAAAGGTGAAGAATCTGGGAATATTTTTGACGCCTGTCTGACATGGACACCACAGGTTAATGAGACTAGTAAGAAAATGTTCTCTGCTATAGGCTCCTTACGAAGACTGCGTAATTTTCTTCCTACTGCTACTAAAGTTGCGCTCGTTCATTCACTACTTCTGCCCATCCTTGACTATGCTGATATTTGCTATCTTGACATTACCGAAGTACAGCTTAATAAACTTGAGCGGATTCAAAATTTGTGTCTTCGATTCATATTTGGGCTTCGTAAATATGATCATGTTTCCGATTTTCGTACACAGCTCAAGTGGCTCCCAATCCGCCTTCTCAGGAATACCCATATTCTCTCTGCTTTGTACAGTGTGTTGTTTAATCCCTCTACTCCGAAATACTTAAAAGATCGCTTCGAATATCTTTCCTTATCCCATGAAAGGTCCCTTCGTTCTTCTGCCAATCTCTCCCTCCAAACTCCTGTACATTCCTCTTCCTTCTTCAAAAAATCTTTTACAGTGACAGCTGTGCGTTTGTGGAATTCTTTGCCCCTTCACATTCGACAAGCTAAGTCACTTCTTTCTTTTAAAAACCAATTAAAAGCTCATTACTTGGAACTGTGAATTCACGCTTTCCTTTTTCCTTTCTTATTTTTCCCGAAATCTTTGACTATCTCATTGAAGTATAAATGTCTTCATCCGATGTTCATAAGTGATTCATGTACACCTCCCTCTGCTCTCTTCTTTATGTCTCATTAACAAATATTCTTTTCACAATGGTTGTCTGGAAGAAATCGCTTTCTGAGCGATAAGACCGCCTATTGTACTTCCTTTTATATTCATTTGTAATTTGCTTTTTATATATTTTTATTTTTGGTGTACAATAAAGTATAAATAAATAAATAAATAAATAGTAAGTAATTCCGACATGTCGATTAACTTCACCTATTGCTGTCTAGATTCCAATATAATTTTATTTGTTACGATTTCGTTATTTTCTGGCCTATCGATTGACTTTTGAATATATCAATTAGGAGAATCTTTTTGTTTCTTTACTAAAAATCAAACTTAAGATTCCTATCTTGTGGCTAGTTTAGCTATTCTAGGACGCTAGTGGTTATTGAACGTATGGGAGAGGTGTAGAAGGTGGAGCAAAGTTGAAAAATGAAAGTTGAATATTGAAATTCTTTATTTACCACTCTTGATGTAAAGTTTGATTATTATGTTGGTATTATATAATTATATTTACTATACAATGATAAAACTCACATTTAAAATACAATAGTAGGTACCTGATCGGATGAGATTAAATGCAAAAGATTAAATATATCTTTAGTGATATGTAATAAATGAAGAAAGAGTTGTCTTAAAAATTCGTAAATCTGTTGCAGTTACGTCGCTAATAATTTATATTTAAATATTATTTTCGTGAATGTAATAAATGACCCTTTCAAAATCATTATATCAAAGTTAAGGTTAGATAAGCTTTATATCATTTAGAATTGTTTTAAACTCCGCTTTTCTTCATGATCTATTGAAGGTTTAAGTTTTACTTAAACTGGTAAGAAGCACTGTTACTACATTCGATTCGACAATTCACATTTGTCGACGTTAACAGGATAGGCTTTACTGATAAGGAGCTAGAACACTTACTAGTCTATTCTGGCTTATATGCTCCAAAATGTAGGTCGCGTAAATATCAACTGAGTGATTAATCTGCATCAATTCGACGGGCTTTAATATCGTTCTGAATAAAATAAAGTATTAACCGTATATAGTTCCACAGCATTAATACATATCGAAGCAATGTTCTCATGTACGCAATTGTAAAACATTATACTGTGTACTCTGAAATCTTTTTTTTAAGAAATTTAAAAATGGTAGATTTATCTATTTCGATTTTAAAGTTTGACCTGCTTAGGGAACCCAAAAAGATTAAAGTTCTCAGTAAGTAGAATTGGAGACTAAATTGTCAACTGACATCATATTAGCCCTGGATTGGATGCAAGATATTTATTTATGCTCTATGCACACAAAATATGTACAAAGGTAAAAAATACAAAGGACTTAATGCCATCAGCATTATTTACCAGTCAACCTTTGGGTGGGCCAGACAAATTTAAGGAGCTGTATTGATTACAAAATGAAAAAAGAGAGATCATTGAAAATCAAATTTATAAGAAATATTACATAAAAATTATACTAAGCATATAAAAATAAATAATGTTAATACTATATATTTGAATAGGTACGTACAGTAAAAAACAAGTATTTAAATACACAATACATTTATATAAATATAGATAGTAGTAGATAGATAGTACATATTTCAACGCCAATCCGCAATTGCGTGGTGGACTATGCCCTAGTACCCTCTGTACAGAGGAGGTATGTGCCTAGCAGTGGGACATTTATAGTTTGTTGTTACTTTACTTAACTTTAACTCCCTTCATTATTAACTTCTTGTCATTAGCCGATTTTTCATTTTCATTCTTTAACAGGATCCATTTCAAAGTACCTTTGTCACTAAAACTTACACAACCACTGGTAGGGCCACGCAGCAGCCTCGGCTGTTGCACGAATGGGCAGGGTCGTCCAGGTAAGTACCACGACCTCACAGAAGACCGGCGTAAAGTGGAAGTATAATACTTTCGCGTTTCGTCTGGTGAGTGAGGTAGCCGGAGCCCAATCTTCAAAAGGTTGTAAACGCATCTTGGACCCTCGGGTGTAGCAGATGTCCCTGGGCGGCGGTATTCACTTAATATCAGGAGAACCGTCTGCTCGTTTGGCAACTTATCACATGAAAAAAACAATCTATAAAAATAAGCAGCCCTGATTAGCCAGTTTCGCAATTTCTATATAATCGATATCCATCTAAAGAATGCGCTCTTCGACCATTAATCTTGAGAGGTAGCGCCAGACCTGACCTTTTTATTGTACCAAACACCCCTTTTCGTATATATTGAAACCACTAAAACAGTCCGTTTGTTAGGCGCATTGAATCCATTTAAAAAGAAATAAATTCTCATATCTTTATCAAACATCGTTTTCACTTTTTTATCGAATAAAAATGATTCATCAGTTTTAGGCTCTCGAGTCGCCTCAACGTTTTTATCTAGATTTATTTGTGTTTTAATTCAATCCATGTAAATGTGTCAATACCAGTTTCATACGTATCCTCTATGAATTGCAAAAGTCCTAACGCCGAAAGTTGTATATTTTCACGTTTTTGTGGGAACCTAGCGACCGAATTGCACAATTGCCCCCGCTTTGAGACCTCTCGATTTTGACCGTCCGATGGCATTTAGAATGAGCGTAACATTTGCGATACTCGACATGACTCTTGCTCCAATTCACGTAAAAGAATGCGGCGTTCTAGAATAAATGGTAATAACGTAGTTTTAGTGAGGAATATACTCAAAAGGCAAGATTTACTTTGATAAAGGTAATCATACAATTGTGGTCCATTTATTATCGGTGTATAAAAAGGGCTATAATAAAAGCCTTAGTAAAACAATCAGGCAGATATTTTAAATAGCAGATGTTTGTGTATACATTCTGTGGCGGGAATATCAAATATTTTAGTCACATCTAATCACAAATCATTGGAACAGTTGTCACATACCTATTGTTTGTAGAAGCTACCGTTATAAATTCTAGTGCTCTGATCTTAGAACATCCGATTTTCACCAAAGTGTCCATTGGTAACTTATGTGACCGTAGGTTACAGTGGCCCTTGCTTAAAATTAGCTTTATTATGTGCATAATAAACTAATTTTTAATATCCATGTCACGAAAAAATCAAAGATTTTTGTATAGTATTTTCCATGCAGATCCGTGGTTAGGAAGCTAGTCAGCAAACAAAAAGTAGGGATGCCGAAAAATTATCGATATATCGATATTTTTTATAAAATATATCGATATTTCAGCCGATATATTGTGATCCGATATATCGATATAAAATATTCAATATCGAAATCGTATCAAAAACGATATTTTTTTTCAAATTCGAATCCGGGACATTGACTTGAATGTTTTTCATTTAAACATTCATTTAAATATTTATTTAATACGTGGCATATGTTTTTTTTTTTTTTACAACAGGGCCTACGAAGAAAATATCGATATATCGAGGCCGATTTTGATATTTTTATTAACATCGATATATCGATATGTTTTTTATACTTTCGTCATCCCTAGCAAAAAGTGGCAACTGACCGTGGACGCTACTATAAAGAACGATCCGCAAAAATCCCCAACAAGTTCACGGCGGCCGAATTGAAAAGACACCTTAGCGCGTCAGATTAGAGGTTAGTGTGACAGAAAAACGCGCGGGAAAAAAACTTTTAATTAGATTCTGACAGCAAAGGGACCGACTGTCAAAAAGTCGGCGCCAACCAACGCGGCGAAAATGAAGCAACAAGACTAAATAGACATGGAAAGGTGACTTGGATTTAGTACGGTTCGCACTTAATAAACGTTTCCAGTATTCTTTTGAATTTAAACAAGTATAGTCTTATACTTGATGTTATTGTTGTTATGTTAGTCTTATCCATACTATTTATTTAATTTAATGCAATGCACATTTCAAAGTCAAAGCGGGAATCTAATGTCAATTCGCAACTTAACTGAGACTAGAGAATCAACTACAAAAAATTACATCTTTTGAATTAAATACTCTAGATCTACTACTACATTTTTATGATCAACCTTTGGTAGATTTTTCATTTTTGCTAATACAAAACAAAACTTGTGCATGTGTGAAATTCTCTCACGTCTCATATACCACTATAAATAATTATCTAGTACGGAGCATCATCATTCTTCTGCCCTTACCCGACCTGGGTGGTGTCGGCACATGTGAATAATGATGAAGTGGTTTTCACTAGGTTCTTCACGACCGGCCTTCTGCCTGAGGTCAACGCATGAATGAGAACAATCATCTGTGGGTCATGTAAATACTTTTCCCATATGGGACCCGAACCCACGACCCTCAGCGCCGAAGACAACAGCGACTGCACCACCAAGTCATCGGTTATCATCTAATAACCATCCCTAGAATAGAAACCAACCTACCGAAGCCCAGCGTAGCAACCCAACGATGACCACATTTAAAGGCATGCTTAATGAGGCTCCAAAATTTTGACTTAGGCTACTCGGAGGCGCGTTCCCACTGACGCCCGTTAACAGCGCGACGTGACGGCAGCGGAAACGGGCACGCTCGCGGCCGGCGGCCCGGCGGCGCCGCAGCGGCTGAACAAAGCCGACCGGAGGCATTTATGCAAATGGCGGCATTCCGAAAACGCGCGGGGGCAAAAAAGCCGCCGGTAAGGGGAAAGCTTGAGTTTTCCTATTGGGACACTTTTGTGCGAGTACACACAGATTCGAGTTCCGAATCAATCGATTTCGACTCGAGTTCACGGCATTTCGTACCACCGAATCTGACACCAGCGCACAATCGAGGGGTGGCTCTAATTGAAACTAACTATAGTATACCATCGCACGGGCGGCGTTGATCACTTATTTTTGCATAATTGTGATCATTTGTGTTTGCATTTACCGTCAGGTGAGCCTCTAGCTCGTTTGCCCCCTTTTCTCCATTAAAAAAAAACTAAGGTCGAATAAAAATTGAGCAAAAAAAATTTTATCTAATAAAGATGTTATAACCGTAAACACTGACCATTTCTCAGTGACTTAATAGGCCGGATACAGTTGACGGATTTGATTTTGTTTCTAGTAAGCTTTTGATTTTGTACGACCTCGTTTCTAGTTACGGTTCGGTTCGGGAGTGAGCTTTTCAAATCGAGTTCGGATCGAGAATGAGATAGAATCGAAAACGTACGAACAAATTCGAATCGAATTTGGGGAGTAAGACGGCACACCCCGTCATTGGCGGTATTTCGGTGAGGTAATCCGATTGCAGCCACGGTGCCGGCGTCGCGTACTGTCTACAGAAGATTAACGGCTCGCCTTAACAAGGCGTTATTTGTGGGCTGTCGACGCGTTGCGTTCTTTAAAGGTGAAATAAAATAGTTCGCGATAAAATATCGCGTAATACCCCTAGAATTTGGATAAACGACCCGTCCACACCTAGAGTTTACAATCGACTGGGTATATTTTCATTGTGTATGAACGAATATATTGTAATGTGGTGTGTAAAAAGAAAAAAATATTTTATAAATTTTTAGACAGAGGACACACATGAAAAGTAGATTCATCACAAATAAATTCTTTAATCTTTTGGAAAGAGAAGCACGTAGGCTTAGAAGCATATAGGCCACAAAAATTATAATAATACTACCCTTTATGTTTCGTAAACTTCTTCATACAATTGTGTGGAAATTCTGAAGCCAATGCAAGTATACACGTTACGCGCTTCAGTAAACTTCATACAATCGTGTGGAAATTCTGAAGCCAGTGCAAGTATACACGTTACGCGCTTCAGACTTCAGCTGTTTTTCTAAATGAAGACGAGGGTTACAAAAAAATCTCAAAAAAGAATTAGTATTATCATTAAAAAAGTAATATATTGATGGCTTTTCAGAGGAAACATTTCCAAAGTTCAAACGTAACCAGATCTATAAAGCCTCGCTAGAAGTCCTTATTTGACGTTGTTATTCGGCTGTTCTAATCGCAGTCCGATTCTTTTTGCGCTAACAGTATCCCAATTTTATTTTACTACATTTTAACCCCATGGTATTTATGCAGCAGTTAGTTTATGTAGAGACGGATGAAGAATGTTTTACGAAATTCGGAATATAGAGAGCTTTTATAAAATAATCGAAGCTACATAAAAGCTCAGTGTGCGGGCGCTCGCCTTTAATTCAATATACGAGTACTCGAGGAACATGAGTTCGATCCCCGGTGCCGGCACCAACGAAATTATTAATTTTAAGTGCTTAATTATCACGTGCTCTGCGGTGAAGGAAAACATCGTGAGGAAACCTGAATATTCTTATAAATAATGACAAAGGAACAATAATTCGAAGATATATGAAGTTCGCCAATACGCAGTGGGGCCGCGTGGTGGACTATGCCCTGATTCCCTCTGTATAGAGGAGGCCTTTGCCCAGCAGTGGGGTAGGCAGTACAGGCTGTTACTTTACTTTTTTTACATACATTCACACCTTCGCGAATAACATATTACTGTGATAATTACTCGGCGATTTAAACACATCACTCGAGTACTCGATTTAGGAGGTCGACAGTTAACGCGACGCTACATGCCCCCTTTCGCAAAAGTATAAATGCTAATTTAAGAAAATGCTCCTTTTTACTCCACGATGCAATTTATACTTGTTTACGGCAATGATTCCCGAGTTAAGCACGGAACGCTTGCATCGCTGTGAAACAACAAAGATTGAATCGAGTTTATTTATCCTTATGATCGATTTATTACGCCTCGAATTTTCCCCGCGCTGTAAATATTACTAAGTTTCTAAGTATTTAAAACTGATAAAAAACACGCCTGCATATAAACCTTTGCTTAATAATTGTAATACGTGATATTTTATGGTATCATTATTATTGTGAAATGAAAATCTATTATAGGGAACAATACAAGGGGCAAGAGATGGTGTATCTGACATTGATAGACGAACTATTCATATTAAATGGAATTTATGTGTAAAATACTTACTTATGAAAAGAAATTATCATGGCCTTCTCTTTTTTCTACTTGTGCGTAGTTTTTGCAAGATTTCACTGCACAGAAGCTAAAAATATTTTAATATGTGTTTATGGTGCACAAAACATACTGACAGCAGTTTTCTACAAGTACATGCAATTTCCTGCATATACCTAAGTTTAGCCTTGACGCGTTGACGTGCCGGACTATGGATCTCAATATTACGAAGTTCTTAGAAAATCATAAAACGGCTCAATGTATAAAATTTCCGATACTTTTATTATTTTCTGAGTTAGTCTCGGTTCCCCTCTATACATCTTCGCATTCGATGGAACCAGTAAAAAAAGCAGTGGGCCTATTCTCGCTATGGGGTCTCTTCTACAGCATTTCAGAACGTACTCACCGCATCTTCAGAGCTCGTAAGGCGATGAATGTAGTACGCATACATCTGTAAGCCTTCTGATATTGCAGGTGAGCGTCCTATCTGATCGGAATTGTATACCTTAAAAAGATGTTTGCACTGTCTCATGAAAAAAAAAACAACTATAAACATTGTTTAAAGATTTTTTTGAATTCAAAGTTGGCCAGCACTTGACTGCCATTTCACCTGATGGTAAGTGGCGCTGCAGCCGTTGATGGTAAGCGCACTAGATCAGAAAAAACCTATTCACTATTGCCTTCCTTGCCTATGCTGTAGTGTAAACTAATCATAATATTATTAATCACAAAACACTACATTAGTATCTATATTTGACCCGTGCGAAGACAGATAATGTCGCTAGTCTAAAATGCATTCTAGATCCCGTCCACATCAATAGTGACCTATTTTGGTAACAAACGGCTATCATTTACAACTTAAATCAAACGAATTAGACTGTGTTGTTCAGAAGAAATCGCACGTGGAGGTTAGAACGTGCATTGTGACTGGAATTTATATATAACCCATCCTACACAGCGGCAGCCGGCGCATCATTATCTGGGTTAGTGGTATACTTGCGATATAGTGGTATGGAGCTTTTGTCCTTGACACTCTAGTTCTCAACATTATTTCACAAATAATCTTCACCGAGCGCAGTTGCTATGCCAGTAGAAGATTCTGCGCAGAATATCGTGTTCTATCACATATTCGAAGATCAGTGCATATTGTCGTTCTAATATCGTTCATTCGATTTGCGACAAAGGCTTGGTGTATTTTTAGACCTTTAAGTTTTCGGACTCTTTAAAATATGCCATGGAATGGATATAAAGTTTGACGAGATTAGTTCGCTGTGAACTTTCCTCATCCGATCACAAGAATCGTTGATCAAAAAGTCATCGTAACTTTAACATTACCGTTACAGATAATGAGTTACAAATATTTGCTATATTATTTTTAAAGGCGGTACGGATCGAATGTTTGTTCATTTCAAATGATAAGGGAAGACAAAGAAATATCGAAGAATAAAGATCTTCGGAGAATGCTGTGAAAAAATCTTCAAACCATTCGTATCACGCATATCGTCATGCATATGCATCTCCACCGCGAATTACATCCAAACAGGGGACAATGTAACCGTTAAATTTCCACCGAAACGGACGTAAGAAAACACCACGCTGACATCAATGACGCCGCGTCGGATTTGAAAACGATTAAAAGAACCGTCCAGAAACTTAGCGGGTTGCATCTTCAATTCGCCGGCTGATTATTCAAGCGGCGGGCGTTCGGTCGAAGCTCGGCAATTAACATTTCTTGTACTGGACCAAATCGGGACAAACGGCGAATAGGTCTAATTAGACAGTTCGGCTGGGGCCCGACCGGAGGGGTTTTTGTCGTTCGGAGCAGTAATCGCTCTTAATCGGAGCGCAATTAAGGCGGCTGAAGCCTGGAGATACCGACACGGCAGACCGCCTGTGGGGCTGCACATTTGAGCAATGCTAATGCTGGGTACAGACGACTCGAGTACAAACGCACGGGGGATTTCTTATGGCGGCTTACGAGACTGTCAACCTCTCGCCATACTTTCACGGCTTTTATACGGATCTGTGTTCGTATTTGACGTCTCCACGGTTGCATTCGATGATGTATTCGTCGCGAGATACTTGTGTAGGCTGAATTCTTTCTCTTTTTCAATTGTATTAGGTATTGCTCTACCTGACGATTTACGTTAGAACTCTTATACTATTTCAAAAGATCTTGATTTAGTTTTAGCTCTACTGGTAAATTTTCGTTTTTAATGAAGTCAATGGTTTTCGCACTATCAGCTATTACAATAATAATGGAAACTTCAGCTATCGTTTCAGTCCTTATAAGCCGTGATTATACTTGACCACTGCCATGATGTAATGAACACTGCGAGTCGGGTGCTTTTCACGAAATATCTGCCACGTGCGATAACTTTCTTAATTCAGTTATCGGCAGTGTCATTTCAAGACGATTATACTAATGTTGCGAACGCCCATGAGCAGCTGAGAACCTTTTCTATCGGGAGAGAAACTTGTATTCAAGACCTACCCCACTTGCGCTATAAGGACGTGTCTAACGACGTCACATTCATCAAAATCAGTTGCAGTGCTTGAAGGAACATAGGTGCGGATTTACGTAAATTCAGATCAAACACACGGCCCTCACCGTAATCGGGTGGAAAGCTTTCCAACCCGACAGTAAGTAGTGATGTACATAGCTCGAATTCCCGTCGCGACCCGCCGGTATCGGCCGCGCTGCATTTGCATCACTACGCCAACACACCTCTAATTACTGTAATACCTGTCAGGCTCACCTTTTAACCTACTTGTTGGCCGTCTCTGGATTCCAACGCATTGTCGCCGCGGCTCATTTGTATTCCGAGCGCGTTTTCATCACCGGCCGCTGTGGGCGCAAGTGTTTCTGCCGTCCGTCCCCCTCTGCCAAACGCGGTGTCCGTAGCCGCGTCCCTGTCGCCTACGGGGCCGATCCGATCCACCATGGGGAGACCAAACAGAGCCTCGTGATCGATGCTTGTTCAAACGCATGTGGAAGTGTAACACTCGCCAACAATCGCCCGTTTGCCGTCGAGATGCTTCGGCGCATTTGATTCGGGAGCCACCTACTTACGGCCCGATGTTTACTTTGACCGGAGCGGTTCGGTAGTGATGACTGTATTCATAACGTAAAATATATCCGAACAGTTTATTGACATACGATTATGGTATAATGTCATATCATTTGTATCAGGATAATAATTAGATTGAGATAACAGAAACTAGTTAAGTAGGTGTTCGTAATATTGTATAAAATTTCGCTGCGTATCTTGGAGGTAAAAATTAAGCTATTCTTATTACTTGTTTACTCTCTCCACGACTAAAATTTACTGCGTGATTGTAAAATTGAATTAAATCTTAATATTTTATTCCTTGATACTATTTTAATCAAAGAAATCGTCAAATGAAATCCTAGGAATATCTGAATAACTTCTATAATCACGACAAATTAATTTTCCAAGAAAAGCCATTACGTTTTCCCAGCTCAGCAACTTCCGATGAGTTGCGATCAAAGTGGAGATGACTCTATTCAGTTAGATACTCATTGATGATTTTAGCTGTAGCTGTTCAGAATTATTATCAATATACAAAAGGGCAGTTATGTACCACAAGTTCATGAATAATGTGAGATTACCAAAGAGGTGTGATAGCTCAGTGTCCGGGAGCTCGCCTTTAATTAAATATGCTCGAGCAACCTGAATTCGATCCCCGGTGTCGGCACCAATGAAATTGTTAATTTTAAGAGCCGAATTATCACGTGCTCAGCGGTGAAGGAAAACATCGTGAGGAAACCTGCATATTCTTATAAATAATGACAAAAGAAAAATATTTCGAAGATATGTGAAGTCCGCCAATCCGCAGTGGGGCCGCGTGGTAGACTATGCCCTGATACCCTCTGTACAGAGGGGGCCTTTGCCCAGCAGTGGGACATGTATAGACTGATACTTTACTTATTACCAAAGAAGTGTTAGAAGTTCTATGTGAAGAGAAACTTATGTGAGAGACGCTACATATTTGTTATTGTTTTAAAAGCCTTGTTAAGTTAAGCACTTTCTTCACAATGGTTCATCTAGCTAGGTTTCATTTTTAGAAAATGTCCTTTTATCCCTGTGTTCAGGCAATGAAAAATATCATTCGAATATGTTATAATAGCTCGGTCGGTAAGCGGCCGCGGTTCGTATCACGATCATTTCCATACTTATTTTTTTTTCTTTTTTTTTTCTATACCAGATCATTTTCTTTATTTTTATTTTTTTTTTCCAAAATACACGATATACCAAAAAAAAAGTCCTCCAGGTTCTAATAATAATACTTGTAATCATGACACACATTATTCATTGTGACCATAATGAAATTAATTCACATATATGCCAATTGAATATAAATCTCAGATCTATAAAAATAATATATAAGATCTATTTAAGGCACCGATTCAAATACGTCATCGTGTTCATCCCTCTCATCACATGACTGTTAGGTTTTATTCTTAATTAGATTACTCATAGTTCCAACAGTGGAAAATTCTAAGAAGAACTCGTAACCCAGAAATAAAACTCTTCTTGGTAAACTATTCATTTCACGATTGAGTAGAGGCTCGTAAAAGCTATTCATATTGAATTGATTGTCATTTAAAAGTTGAAAATATTTGGACGGGTCGAGTTAAGTTTTTTCTAAACTTACCTTTGCTACACGAGGAGCGATATAAGATTGTCTTTCGCGTTCAGGCAATTAGCGGTCTAACGTTTTGCATAATAGCGGATAAAATCGCTGATCCGCCGCGAGGTATTCGAGGGGCTACGATTTCGCGTATAACGGACTATTATCCCGGTCAAATCGCACCCATCCTGGGTCCGTCTGGACGGCACGCGGCGACCTCTAAGGGGAGTCATCGAACTTGGAAATATTTCCTAAATGGGTTAATGCACCGCAACACGCAACAGGTGCTCAAGGTGATCCCGAATCGGTGGGATTACGAAGAAACCCCCATCGCTACCACGCACGCCCCATAAATATTCAATAGCGCCCGCGGCCGTTTGGAAATTGCGATTTGCCGAGTCATCCCCCCACGAAATCGTTGTTTTAGAAGAGTTTAGCTCGCAACGCTTTATGGAGCACAGGCATGGAAGGGTTCCGTACAAAATGACTAATATACACAAGGCCCTATAGTATTAAGGTACACTTAGTGTTGTCGAGGCATTAGAAATGCCAACTGCAGGGGTAGTAATATATCGCGCTATTATCGATGATGAGATGTGTAATAAAAAGCAATCTACCTTATTTGTACTTGTCCGCTTACTGTGTTACTTCGGCAAAAATATGAAGATAAACAATTTAAGAGTATTTTTAGGATTAATTTTTATTTTTAGTGCTCGTCACTGCACTCAAGATTCTTAAATTATAAATTATTGTTGATGACAAAATTGTCGGTAAAGCGTCTGGTCGCTAAACCAGAAGGTTCGAATCCCGCAGTTTTGTTCATTCATCTACAAAAATTTAAAAAACAAAAGTTTAATAGTACATAACCATAATAGGCTACAACCACCGCGGAACATCCCCTAAATCCATGAAGACGATGAACCCAAACACGATCGCTAACCTCGCGCAAAGTCAAATAATCCCCCGCAATCCCGCAAAGTCCACATAATCCCGCCAAATCCCGCGCAATCCCGCACAATCCCGCATCACCGTCCCAAATCGCCCCGAATAATTCACCGTTGCTCGCTGACTTCCAAGTAAAACGGACGCCGCAAGGAAAATCTGAATTTAGACATTATGCAAAAAAAACACACGAAACGTCGACAAATAAACGTATACTTTTACTGTCTTTAGACGGAATGGGATATTGCGATTCGCTTATCGTAACTCTGCGCCATGTGGGGATGAACAAAAGATCGTATTGATTTCGCCGACTGGGGATCGCGCGCGGAAAGAATGTGCGAGCTTCGGTAGAACTTTCGAGAGTTAATGTCTCGCGCATCCTTACTTTGGCAGTTAATAGCTTAAGTTGAAGATTTTAATTCAATAAAATTGTGTTGTTGCGACATTAGTATTCATATTTAGGTTAATGTTTAAACGATTCATAATTTTGAATTAAATGGTATTGAGTTCATTGAGATGGGTAATTCTTTCTTGAGCATGAGTATGCGACTGTATTTTTTACTTTTTAATTTTTAATACCTCTTTTGACTTGGTGGCTTAAAATATAGATAAACGGCGTATATTTTTAAAATCACTCTCAAAAATGCACTATAAATAAGTAAAATTTAAATGAACATCGAATATCTACACAAGATAATATTCATACAGTGTATGCTCAGATGCTCTTAAAATGCAAATCACTATATAAATATATAAAACAAAGTTGTCCCTCTGTCAGTCTATCCCTATGTATGCTTAGATCTTTAAAACTACGCAACGGATCTTGATGCGGTTTTTTTACTAGATACATACATTGCACCCGCGCGGGTCGCTAGTACTTAATAAAAATTCTCAGATAATCGCAATATCGTGCAACATAAAAACAAGATTAAAACAAAACATAAAAGGGCGCACTCGAAACGGTCGAACGGAGGCAGGCGCACGTCCCCGCGCGAGTCGTCATTTAAAAACAATCCGGCGGGGTTGCCTCGCGAGCGTAACTGTTTATGGAGTTGCCGCGCCAAACTGGGCGCTAAGTGAGGAAAAAAAAGGGCCCCGAGCGCCCGAGTCGAAAGGAAACCCGTACGCGGCAAAAAACGCGCCGCCGTCGGCCGTAGCGTAGTGGAATACCACCGCGGGGCACCGTGCGCGTACTACGCTTTTCGCGAGTAAACAGCCGCGCGTCGCCCGCTCGGCCTTTTTTTTTGTTGTGTGCCAATGATTCGTTTTTTTTTTCTTTTCGCGAAAGCTTCATGACGAAGAAGGTTTTATTGTTGCTACTTTATAAATTCTATTAGGATGATTTATTTATATATTGATGTTCGATTGAAGATTTTATATTCCGATTATTCTTATAATTATATCTCCGATGATTCTTATTTCTTTTTAAACAAAAGAGATTCTTCTTATTAAATGATAAAATTTTTAAAGTCGGTGATGAAAAAGGGTTCTATTCTTTCGAATTTATAAACTTATTTTGTTTTCCACCTGACACCGCAAACGCTATTAAAAAGATTAAATTTGCTTCGGACATTTTAAATTCTTAGTAGGTGTTAGGTCAACTTGTCTATGGTTTTTTAAGTGCAAATAAAGCTTGAAGTGTGACCTTTCCATATGGACAGGTGTCTTTCTAGGTTAACGTTGCATCTCTTGACAAGCAAGCGGGATAGAAGGCAATCTGTTCAAAATAAAAAAGCGGTATCCAGTAACAGTTAATTAACACTCGCCGTACCTAGCAATGAATTGTAATATGTCCATTTTAACCGTATTATGCTTCTAAAGAGTATTTTAGTTCAATAACAGCAAAAGATACTCAAACATGACAAAATTACGATAATAATTGAATTAAAACATCCTTATTTTAGGGTTGTAATTAAACATGGCTCTTCTTTGGAATTAAAACGACATAAATATAAAGAAACAGACCAAGTGCGAGTCGGACGCGCGCACGAAGGGTTCCGTGCCATTATCTATAAAAGCAAGAAATTCATGTCTGTAGTATGGTAGCTACAGACATGAATTTCTCTTTCCACTTAAATATTTCTTTATACTATTTTTAGTTGTTGATATAGTGGCAACAGTAATACATCTGTGAAAATTTCAACTGTCTGACCATCACTGTTCATGAGATGCTGCCTGGTGACAGACGGACGGACAGACATACAAACAGCGGAGTCTCAGTAATAGTGCGGGACACTACCTTTTACCCTTTGAGTACGTAATCGTAAACAGGAATTGTAGTAGTTGGCCATAGTCAAACAAAGTTTATACCGTGTCCTTTTTCCGTCATTACTCGATAAATTCCGAG